CTGAGTGCTGCTGAAAGGGGCCAGCTGGACAGCTCCAGAGTCCCGTGACCACAGGGTTGGGGACAGCCCAGGCAGCCCAAGCCCACCCCGAACCACCCGCGAGAGGGACCCCTGTCTGCTGAAGCTGCTAATGGAGATGGCAAAGGCTCAGATCCACCCAGGAGCCATCAAACAGCTGTCAGGATTTGGGCCCAACCAACCCGTTCCAGGATTCAAACCAGCTACTCTGCCCCATCTGGCCACCCAAGGTCTCTGGTCCTCGAGGGTCATGAAGCCTTTTGCTTCAATAGCTTCGTCCCCGGTCCAGCCAGCCCAGGCTTACCTGGGGCACTCCCACTCCCCAAAGCGAGCAGAGGCCCTTGCGCCACGGGGAAAAGTGCCCCGACGGCACCTACCTGCAGCGGCCCCCACAGGGTTACACTCCGACTGCTGGGGCGAGACGGGCGACTTCACCTCCATCGGTGAGCTTCTGAGTGAGACACAAGGGCACCAGTGAAGGGGGCTGAGCTGGCTGTCTGGGCTGCTGCCTACAGCCCTTGGCCAGGGAGTCTGCTGGAGGTGCCAGGGGCTTGCGGGAGGGGGTGGGGAGCCACTGGCAGGAGACACCCAATGGAACTGGGATGGGTGACTCAGTGGAAGGCACTGGCTGCAATGCTCCAGTAGGATGCTAGGGGGCGCTGTGCTGCAGGGAGTACAATGGGGGAATCAGGAGGGGACACTCTCCCCTCTGAGTCAGCGCTGACTCCAGACCTCCAGCCCCCCGGTGCTAGCAGGCAGTGCCAGAGGCGGTGCTGTTTAGTTGAGCCGTAACAGCGAGGTCCTACGCCCTGGGGGTCACCCGAGTCCCCCTGGCTCTTTTCACAAGAGTTGGGGCACGAATCCCCATTTCGGCAATTCCATTCCGGCGCCCCAAATACCCCCGGCACTTTCAATTACCAACAGGATCCTTCTTCACTCCCTGCCCTAAACTGTAGTTGTATTGCTGTAAGACACCCGCCATGCTCTGCCCCAGAGACGGCTGCATTGCAGAGATGGGCGACACAACCCAATACTCAAGACATTTGGGGATGAAAGGTGCGGGCGAGACGTATGTGCCTCTGAGCTCACCAGGCCAGAGGTTTCCCAAGCACAGCCCCCAGCGTGGATTTGAGTGATTTTTGCGTACCCAGCTTGGGACCCTGAATGTACCATGGCCACCCCCGAGGGCTCAAAAACCAGGGACTGGCTTAAGAATCAGGTGATTTTTAAACAATAATCACTGTTGGGTTCTTACATTTACCTGGTGGTTACTAAACCTTTTGCAGCTTTTCTAGGCAACCCCCAGGGCAAGACACTTAACCAGTTTTTTAATGGAAGCTGAGATTCCCTGTGAAATAACATGACTCCAGGAGCTGGGGCTTTAAGAATAAATACCAAATAGCATGCAGATTGGCAGTACTGCTGATAGGGCCCTGATACCCGAGTTCCCACTCGGCACCAGCCTATGGTCCAGTCAGGCAGGGGGACTACATTGCCCACAACCCCTTGCAATGCGCTCTACTGCCCCAATGAATCCTGTGATACAGAGTCCTCACCAGGCCTCTACCTACAGGCCAAATGGGCAGGAGGACTACATTAGCCACAACCCCTCCTGCCCCAATGCATACTGGGATACGGAGTCCCCACCAGACTCTGAAAACCAATCCCCTTTGAGGTGTCTTTAAATTGAGCACCCCACCAATACAAAACAAAGTGTCCCAAGATCACACTGGGTGACCTTGGCCCAGAGCCCCTCCCTGTGACTTTCCCTTTTACCTGGGAGAGGCAGCAGGCAAGATGGGCGCTGCGGGGGCCGCTGCGGTGCTGAGCTGAGAAAGGGGCTCTAGGGAGAAAGGAGAGCTTTGAAAATAAAAGGTGACAAACATTAAAGCAGGCTTTGCGCCTCCGAGCGCAACAAGAACCAGCTCTTCCTACCTCTAAACGCTTGGGTGTGGTGCCACTTGGGGGCAGGAAAGGGACCGCGGGGACTAGGGATGTTTTAATAATGAATAATACCACCACCCAGCTCAAATGTAGTGCCTTTCATCCACTGATCTCAAGGCACTTTACAAAGAAGATCAGTACCATTATCTACATTTTACAGCTAGGGAAACTGAGGCAAAGAACAGGGAAGTGACTTGCCTAAGGTTACCCAGCAGGCCAGTGGCAGTGCCAGGAGTAGAACGCAAATCTCCTGACTCCCAGTCCAGTGCTCTAGCCCATAGGCTGCACCAGCTGGGGGCCATTTCCTCAGCTGAGATTCTCCATCCCCAACTCTTCCCACACGTACCCCCAAATCTCTCTACTCTGACAGGACTGGAGTGGGGAGTAGAAGGCGGGTTTGGGTCTGGATGCGAGTCTGCAGGTAAAGGATCAAAGAAGTTGAGAAGCAAATTAAGTAAAGGCCCAGGTTCCCCCTCTGCCCCCCCTCACCTGGATTCCTCCGATGCTGCTGGCTCCAGCATATTTCCCCCTTTCAGGAGCTTTAGGGCCACCTCTGCTGCCTTGTGCTTGGCTGCCTTCTTGCTTGGGCCTTGACCTGGAAAGCAGGGTGTCTAGCAGTTAGAGCAGTGGGGGGCTGGGAGTCAGGAGTCCTGGGTTCTATTCCCAGCTGTGTCACTCAGTTGCTCTCTGTGCTGGTGATAGATCAGCAGCTCCCAAAGCTGACGGCCTCTAGCCCCCAAGCAGGGACAGCAGCAGGGCGAGGAACTCTGTCTCCATGGCCCATTCTGCCTTGAAAAGTGGCCCATGGGGGGCTGGCAAGTGCCAAGAATCAGGAGGGTTGTTTCTATGGTGGAGGCGCCTGTGCCACTAGGATCTGGGCTGCGACCCAGCCATCTCCCTCCACCCAGAGGCTACCAAACAAGACCTTAAGTGCTAACAGCTGAACTTGAACCCAAGACCTCAAGGCCCTGGGATCCTCCCGCCAAGGATGCCCTAGGCATGGTTCAGATTGGGAAACAAGAAGCTCCGAGTTCCACCCCCAGCCTGAATGGGCCCCATACACCAGGATGATGACTCCCATCCCCCTCAGAAAATCTTAGTCACCACCCCCTACTCCGGGGAGAATTCTGGCCAAAGCCACCTCACCCATTCCCCCTCCGCTCACTATAGCGCCACCACCTAGCTCTTACAAAGCACGTCCACCCACAGGGCTCAAAGCACTCTATAAAGGAACCCAGATTCGAACTCAAGAGTCCTGATCCACAGCTCCCTGGCTCCAAGCACGAGTGACACCTTTAATGCAGAGACGCGATCAGTCAGCAGGAGGCAGCTCAAGATCAGGCTCCTCAAGTGGGTGGCAATGCCAAGGTTCCCCTTGTTTGGGAGCCATATTTACCCGCCTCCCCCACGGGTAACTGACCGGTGCAGCTAATGTCCCCGACAGTCACGCGGAAGGTGAAGTTGGGCTGATGCGCTTGTCCCTCGGCTTTGAGTAGATCATACACGGGCGTCTTGCCTATTCTTGTCCCATACTCCTGGAGAAGGCTGATCGGGGTCTTTCCGGGATTGGAGGCAAGCATTTGCTCTATACTGGGGCAGGGGACACAACACAGGGACACAGGCTCAGAAACCACCAGAGATCAGGGCTTGCCCCAGGGCCTTAAACACCCAGGGCTATTCCCAGAGCCGGAAGGGGGAGTTGTGGGGAAAGAAGCAGTGGGAGAAGCTCCCCCTCCCACACCAGAGCACCCCACTGATCCTGTGAAAGAGTCCCCCAGTAAAGGGGGAGGGCTGTAATGAGAGCAGCTACCCCCTCCCCATGGCAGTCTCCCTGGTCCCCCAGTAGGAGGGGTCAGTGGGATCAGCTACCCCTCGTGATGCCCCCAGTGAAAATCCCCTCAGTGCCCAGTTGGGTGGTGGGGCTCAGTGTGAGAAGCCGTCCTCCACCCCTGGATGCTCCTCTACGCCTGTCTGAGGACACCCCAGTACCCCGTGGGAGCAGCTGGCTCTATCCCATGATCTCCCACCTCTGTACCCAGCGGGGCGGGGAGCCAATGGGAGCACGTCCCCACCCCGCCCCCATTGGGGTGGTGATGGGAGGAGCTGCCCCCCAGGACCCGCCCCCACCTCCCGGGGGTGCAGTGACACCCCAGTGAGGGGGGGCAGTGGGAGGGGATTCCCCCAGGATCCGCCCCCCCCAGCGCCCAGTTTGGGGGGAGCGGTGGGCGGGGCCGCCCCTGAGCCGCCCCGTTACCTGGGGAACCCGCCACTCTTCTTGGTCCCACAGGCCTCCTCCTCCTCACTCATTCCCTCCTCCTGCCCCACCGGAGCCACCGTGCCTGCAGCCCTGGCTGGGAGCCCCTCTCCGGCCAGCGAGCGCCGCCACCGACAATGGCTGGGGGAGGCCGCCCGCGCCGCCCAGGGATCCCTGGAACATGGAGTCCTTACCAGGCCCCTCGTCCCTGGCCCAGCGGCAGGGGAACTACATTACCCACAACGCCCCCCGCGCAGCGCGGCTCTGCCCCGATGCATCCTGGGACATGGAGTCAGCACCACGCCCCCTCTTTGAGCCATGTGGGCAGGGAAGACTACATTACCCACAAACCCGTGAGACGCACCCTGATAGCCCCGATGCATCCTGGGACATTGAGCTCCCGTCTCTGAGCCCTGTAGGCCGGCGCAGGAGGACTATATTACCCACAATCCACCGCCGGGCGCTCAGCTGCCCTAGGGCTCCCTGGGATTTGTATTTCCTGCTTGCCTTGCCACCAAGGAATAGAATGGGCTGGAGCACTACATCACCCAAAGGCCTTTGCGCGCCATAAGTAGGGGAAATGGCGGCCCGGCAGAATGGAGAGTTCTCTTTAGCCACAGGCCGGGGTCTGTTGATGTCATTAGTGACACTCCTCCTGTTCCCTCCCACACGTGCACTTCCTTCCATGGTGATTGGCTTGCCTTTCCCAAGTCCCGCCCCCGTATCCAATCCGCTCTTTTTATTGGGCCAAAGACTACAGCCCGCCCTCTCGGCTGGTGATTGGTTGGTCGCTCCCGTGTTGTCAATGGGCGGCTCACATTTACCACCCTGGCGATGGAGGGAGCGTTACTGAAATGGACCAACTACCTCTTGGGTAACGGCCGCGGGTCCGGGTCCGGGTCCGCCGCCCCTGGGGGCTGGGGATTCCCCTGGACTGGGGGCGGGGGCGGAGGCGGACCATCCCCGAACCGGGCCAGGTCCGCGAGAGCCTCCCCCCCGCCCCGGGCTGAACCGGGCCAGGTCCCTGTGACCCTCCCCTTTCCCCCCCCCAAACCGGGCCAGGTCTGTGTGACACCCCCCCCCTTTGCCCTCCCGACTGAACCGGGCCAGGTCCCTGTGAACCTCCCCTCTCCCCCCAACCCCCCCCGAACCGGGCCAGGTCCCTGTGACCCTCCCCTCTCCCCCCCCCACCCCCCCCGAACCGCGCCAGGTCCCTGCGACCCTCCCCTCTCGCCCCCAACCCCCCGAACCGCGCCAGGTCCCTGTGACCCTCCCCTCTCCCCCCCCACCCCCCGAACCGCGCCAGGTCCCTGTGACCCTCCCCTCTCCCCCCACCCCCCCGAACCGCGCCAGGTCCCTGTGTACCTCCCCTCTCGCCCCCCAACCCCCCCCGAACCGCGCCAGGTCCCTGTGACCCTCCCCTCTCCCCCCCCCCCCGAACCGCGCCAGGTCCCTGCGACCCTCCCCTCTCGCCCCCCAACCCCCCCCGAACCGCGCCAGGTCCCTGCGTCCCTCCCTCTCTCCCCCCACCCCCCCCGAACCGCGCCAGGTCCCTGCGACCCTCCCCTCCCCCCCCAACCCCCCCCCCGAACCGGGTCAGGTCCCTGCGTCCCTCCCCTCTCCCCCCCCCCCCCGAACCGCGCCAGGTCCCTGCGACCCTCCCCTCTCCCCCCAACCCCCCCCGAACCGGGCAGGTCCCTGCGACCCTCCCCTCTCCCCCCAACCCCCCCCCCGAACCGCGCCAGGTCCCTGCGACCCTCCCCTCTCCCCCGCAACCCCCCCGAACCGGGCCAGGTCCCTGCGACCCTCCCCTCCCCCCCCCCCACCCCCCCGAACCGCGCCAGGTCCCTGCGACCCTCCCCTCTCCCCCCCAACCCCCCCCCCCCGAACCGGGCCAGGTCCCTGTGACCCTCCCCTCTCCCCCCAACCCCCCCCGAACCGGGCCAGGTCCCTGTGACCCTCCCCTCTCCCCCCCACCCCCCCGAACCGGGCCAGGTCCCTGTGACCCTCCCCTCTCCCCCCCAACCCCCCCCGAACCGGGCCAGGTCCCTGTGACCCTCCCCTCTCCCCCCCAACCCCCCCCGAACCGGGCCAGGTCCCTGTGACCCTCCCCTCCCCCCCCAACCCCCCCCGAACCGGACCAGGTCCCTGTGACCCTCCCCTCTCCCCCCCAACCCCCCCGAACCGGGCCAGGTCCCTGCGACCCTCACCCCCCCCCGGGCCGGCCGGCCGGGTCCGGTCCCTGCGACCCCTCCCCGGGCCGGCCGGGTCCGTCCCTGCGACCCCCTCCCCGAACCGGCCGGGCCGGTCGGGTCCCTGCGACCCCCGCCCCTCCCCCGAACCAAGCCGGGCCGGGTCCGGTCCCTGCGACCCCCTCCCCCCGAACCGGCCGGGCCGGGTCCGGTCCCTCGACCCCCTCCCCCCGAACCGCCGGGCCGGCCGGTCCGGTCCCTCGACCCCCCTCCCCGAACCGGGCCGGGCCGGCCGGTCCGGTCCCTCGACCCCCTCCCCCCCGAACCGGGCCGGGCCGGGCCGGGTCCGGTCCCTGCGACCCCCCTCCCCCCAACCGCCGCCGGGCCGGGTCCGGTCCCTCGACCCCCTCCCCGAACCGGCCGGCCGGGCGGTCCGTCCCTCGACCCCCTCCCCCGAACCGGCCGGGTCCGTCCCTGCGACCCCCTCCCCCGAACCGGGCCGGGTCCGTCCCTCGACCCCCTCCCCCGAACCGGGCCGGGTCCGTCCCTGCGACCCCCCCTCCCCCCCAACCGGGCCGGGTCCGGTCCCTCGACCCCCCCCCCCGAACCGGGCCGGGTCCGTCCCTCGACCCCCTCCCCCCGAACCGGGCCGGGTCCGGTCCCTGCACCCCCCCCCCCGAACCGGGCCGGGTCCGGTCCCTGCGACCCTCCCCCCTCCCCCGAACCGGGCCGGGTCCGGTCCCTCGACCCCCTCCCCCGAACCGGCCGGGTCCGGTCCCTCGACCCCCTCCCCCGAACCGGCCGGGTCCGGTCCCTGCGACCCCCTCCCCGAACCGGGCCGGGTCCGGTCCCTGCGACCCTCCCCCCCGAACCGGGCCGGGTCCGGTCCCTGCGACCCCCTCCCCCGAACCGGCCGGGTCCGGTCCCTCGACCCCCCCCCCGAACCGGCCGGGTCCGGTCCCTGCGACCCCCTCCCCCGAACCGGGCCGGGTCCGTCCCTCGACCCCCTCCCCCGAACCGGGCCGGGTCCGGTCCCTGCGACCCCCTCCCCCCCGAACCGGGCCGGGCCGGGTCCGGTCCCTGCGACCCCCCCCCCCCCGAACCGGCCGGGCCGGGCCGGTCCGGTCCCTGCGACCCCCCCTCCCCCGAACCGGGCCGGGCCGGGTCCGGTCCCTGCGACCCCCCCCCCCCCCGAACCGGGCCGGGCCGGGTCCGGTCCCTGCGACCCTCCCCCCTCCCCCGAACCGGGCCGGGCCGGGTCCGGTCCCTGCGACCCTCCCCCCTCCCCCGAACCGGGCCGGGCCGGGTCCGGTCCCTCGACCCCCTCCCCCGAACCGGCCGGCCGGCCGGTCCGTCCCTCGACCCCCTCCCCGAACCGGCCGGCCGGCCGGGTCCGGTCCCTCGACCCCCCCCCCGAACCGGCCGCCGGCCGGTCCGTCCCTCACCCCCTCCCCCGAACCGCCGGCCGCCGGTCCGGTCCCTGCGACCCCCTCCCCCGAACCGCCGGCCGGCCGGTCCGGTCCCTCACCCCCTCCCCCGAACCGGCCGGGCCGGGCCGGTCCGGTCCCTGCGACCCCCCCTCCCCCGAACCGGGCCGGGCCGGGTCCGGTCCCTGCGACCCCTCCCCCGAACCGGGCCGGGCCGGGTCCGGTCCCTGCGACCCCTTCCCCCGAACCGGGCCGGGCCGGGTCCGGTCCCTGTGACCCCCCCCGAACCGGGCCAATACTGTGTGATCCCACACCCCTCCCAAACTGGGCCAGGTATCTGTGATCCTCCCCTTGAACCGGGCCAGGTCTGTGTGACCCTCCCCTCTGCCCCCCGAACCGGGCCAGGTCCCTGTGACCTCCATCCAGAACCGGGCCAGATCTGTGTGCCCCTCCCCCACCTCCTGGCTGATCCGGGCCAGGTCTGTGTGACACCTCCCTCCCCCTCCCGAACCATGCCAGGTCCGTGTGCCCTCCCCGCCCCCCCCCCCCCCGCTGAAGTGACCCAGGTCTGTATGACACCCCCGCCCCCGCTGAACCGGGCCAGGTCTGTGTGACCCTCCCCAGCTGGTCTGGGTGTCTGTGCCCTTCTCCCCACCACAAACTGGGCTGAGTCTCTGTAAGACAACATCCCCTCGGAACTGGGCCAGCTCTCTGTAACCCCTCCACCCCCCACTTCCAAACTGGGCCGGGTCTCCCTGCCCTCCTCCCCTGACCTGGGCCTGCTCCCCCCGAATAGGGCAGGTCCATGATCTTTCTCCCCCAAACCAGGACAGGTCTGTGACCCCTCCGTCCCTGAAGTGGGTTCACTGCCCCTGAACCAGGTTCACAGGACTGTGACCTGGACCCACCCCCCACAAGCCAGGCTTATGTCTCTTCCTTCAAAGAGGGGCTGCCTCCCTCTCTTTGAACGGGGCCAGGTCTATGCCCCCCTCTGCATGTTTCCGGATGGGATCGGAGGACCCCACCATCCTTTCCCCCAACAGGCTCCACGGCCTCTCCCAGTCCCAAGCTCTAACTCGGCACAAAGGCTGGCTGGCCCATGGGCGGCTCCCTGTTCCGTTCTGAGAGCCAGGGGCCAACTGGGGGCAGGGGCTACCCTGTGCCTGGGGGGTTGTGAGGATGCAGAGTTTGTAATTCTCTTATAGGGTAAGCGACACAGGTGGACCCCAAAGTGGGAGGGGTAGCAAATAACCTGCTGGCCCAGTTGGCTTTTAGCTCATGCAGTAGAGGCTCGTGCACTAAGCTTCAGAGGTCCCAGGTTCTATTCTGCACGCTGACGACCGGGGTCTGTCGGCGTTACGTTTGCACATCTCTGGCCCCTTTCACTGGAGCACGTCACCCCCGTAATACCCGCATGCAGACACCGATGGGGGAGCGATGCGTCGGGGGCACAGGCAGGGGGTAGGACCCAGGAGTCCTGACTCTGAACCTTCTCCTCTCCCACAGCCAGGAAGAGAATCCAGGAGTCCTGCTTCCTGGCCCGTTGCTCGAAGAACTAGACCCCACGCCCTCCCAGGGCTGGAAATAGAACCCAGGAGTCCTGGCTCCATGCTGACCCTCGCGTGAGCAGGGCTGCTGTGCGCCAGGCGGCAGCCGTGGGAGCTGGGCTCCCTGGAGGAGAGAAGCGCCCTGGCAGGCATTAGGCGGGTGACTGGCCTGGCCTTTCCCTTCCCCTCTAGGTTGGCAGCCACGGTACTTTGTCCTGGACAGCGGCATCCTGTCCTACTATGACTCTCAGGACGACGTGGGCAAAGGCAGCAAGGGCAGCATCAAGATGGCCGTCTGTGAGATCAAAGGTTGGTGCCCTGCACTCCCCCGCTGGGTGAGAGGCTCGTGCGGGTAGGGGGTGGCAATTGGACCAGGAGGGGGCTGGCTTGCTGTGCTGCTGACCTGGGATCCTGGCATGGCAACGGTCCAGAATTTAACGAACACTGAGGGGGCCAGATTCTCCAATGGGCCCTTCCCACCCCGTGCCGCTCTCACCTGCCCCTCCCCCCCCCCCCGGCAGAGACACACACACGTCTCTCTGGGCTATTTCTGTCCTCCCCAGTCACTGCCCCCTTTGGGTTTGCACGTCGCTTCTACCTCTGAGCGCAGTTGTGATGCCACTGAAGATGCACCTCACACCAAGGGAGCCAATCAGTCGTGTGGGAGGTTTCCCTTGGATTCAGTGGGCCCTGAAACTCTTCAGAGCCCGGGCTTGGGCTGCAGCCAGCTGAGGGTTTCGCTGTGGGTGGGCTGGAGACAGGGCAGCTCCCCAGTTTAAGAATCTCCACCCTGGAGACCATTCCAGGGCTTTGTCCAATCTAGTGCTGAGATTCCGCAAAAGAGTGTGTGGCTGTTGGAATCCGGCATAGAACCCAGGTGTCCTAGCACTCAGTCCCCTGCTCTAACCACTAGATCTCTCTCTCCTCCCAGAGCTGGGCATAGAACCTAGGAGTCCTGGCTCCCAGTCCCTTGCTCTAACCACTGGATCCCACTCCCACTCTCCTCCTGGAGAAGCCCTGGGTCCCTAGACTCTGCCTGCAGAGCTGATTGTGTCATGCAAGGTGAGAACAGACTCTGCTACCCGAGCACTGGGCTCTCGCTCAGCGACTGTCTTGTCCCTGCAGTGCACCCCACTGATGCCACGCGCATGGAGCTGGTGATTCCCGGGGAGCAGTATTTCTACCTGAAGGCAGGGGGTGCTGCGGAGAGGCAGAAGTGGCTGGTGGCCCTGGGCAGCTCAAAAGCCTGTTTGGGCGAAAGTAGGAGCCAGAAGGACAAAGGTGGGTCCTTCCTGAAGAGAGAGGGTGGGCACTGTGCCAGAGAAACGGTGATCTCTGTTGCGGTGTGGCAGATCTGGGCAGTGTGTATGTCAGGAGTCAGGGACAGATCGGGGGGTTGGGGGAGCCCAGGGTTGGGGTAGCAGGGGGCAGCGGGTTGGGACTGAGGGACATCGGTGAGGCTGTGGATCAGGATTGAGGGGCACCGGCAGAGCTGAGGGTGGGGAGCCTGGCACTGGGAAAGTAAGGGGCTGTCGGTTGGGATAGAGGGGCTGGGGTTGGGGGGCAGGCTGGAATAGCAGGGGGGGGCTGCGGGTCAGGATTGAGGAGCACCGGCAGAGCTGTGCGTGCGGGCCCAAAACTGCGGCAGCAGAGGGGTGTGGAAGGGCTGGCTGCACCGGGGAGCAGAGACGGGCTCGGGTGCCGGCGTTCCCCCCTCCTCAGGAAACAGTCACTCGGCGGCGACTGCAGAGAACAGGAATTTCATCCTTCAAGCCAATCCCAGCTGGCCTCTGACCTGCTGGTTATGGGGTGGGGGGCCCAGTAGCGGATGGCCTGACCCCAAAGCCCCAGCCCCAGCCCAGGCTGCAGGGAGTGATGTGGAGGGGCTCAGGGAGGGGGCGCTCTCTTCCCTTGCAATCTTCCCCTTCCGGTCAATGCTGAGCTCAGTGCTATGCTCCGCGGAGATAAAAAAAAATTAAAAAGGCAGCACTTCTGCTCATTAGGAGAGCGGCCGCTGCCCCGCTCCCCCCTAGCTACGTCACTGGCTGTGCTGGAGGGTGGGTGCCTGCAGTAGGGGGTGCTTTCTCCTCTCTGGGTCAGTGCTGAGCCCGATGGCCCCCCACACGAGACAGGTCCGCTTATTACCAAGCCCAGTGCCTGCTGTAAGAACCGGGGCATCAATCCCTGTGTCCTGGCTAAATTCCAACGTGGGCCATTCCATTCTGGCTCCCCTGACGGTTTCTGCTGGATCCTCTGTTTTTCTTCACTTCCTGTCTTAGACTAGTGCAGTGTTATTGCAGGTTGTTAAGCAGATGCTACGTTCCACCCCAGAGGTGGCTGCACTTCAGTGGCAGGGGCGAAACAGTCCCTGCATATAACATACAGGGCCTGGGGCTTCCAGGGGAGCAGGATAGGAACGAGGCAATGCTGATCTTCCCATCTCCCTCCAGACATGCACCTGAGCAGCGAGTCCCTGGGCCGGAAGCTGTCAGAGCTACGGCTGTACTGCGATGTGCTGACTCAGCAGGTCTTGGACGTCCAGGAGTCCACGCGGCCCCAGGACAACGGCACCCCGCTCGATATTGAGGTTCAAAGGGAGTGGGGGGGGGGGGTTAAGGAGGAGCTGTTGGGTTTTAGGAGGATCTGGAGGACACAGGTCCTAGCTACCCACTCCCTCCTGCTGAGGCACAAAGGCCGCCTGATTCCAACAGCTCAGAGAGGGCTGCAGCACGCAGTGCAGAGTCAACCAGTGGAACTCCCCGCTGCAGGGCTATGCTGCTATACCACCTGCTCAAGTGGCTGGGATCCTCATGGGGTATGAGGCTTCATGGCATAAACAGATGGGGCGGGGCCCAGGAGTGAAGATATGTGTGGATGTGAGCCCCCTGATCTAAACACTCGACCCCACTCTGCGCCCAGAAGCAGGAATAGAACCCAAGAATCCTGATTCCCACTCCCCTGCTCTATCCGCTAGGCATGACTCTTTCCCAAAGCTGCTTCTGTTCTGAGCAATGCCTTGGCCTGTGCGTCTGCAATGCCAGCTAACACGGAGCCAGCTAACAAAGGCGCGGGGAGGCCACTGACTCCCTGGGTGGCTGGGGCAAGTCACTGCCCCTCTCTTTGCCTCCGTTTCCCCACCTGTACAGCAGGCTTGGAGAGGCTGGAGCTACACGAGCGCAAAGGATTGTGGGCGGCTGTTCCTCTTGGTAACCCTCTGTCCTCCTCATCCCCAGAAGATGAATGAAGCCGCCTCCCTGCTCAAAGCCACCTGCAGCCAGTTCATCTCCACGCTGGAGGAGTGCATGAAATTCGCCAACGCCCGCCTGGCACCTGAGCTCTACCAGCCCTCGCCAGCCCCCCTGCCCCAGGACTTCGTGGGCACCAAACTCCCGCACTCCCATAGAGTAAGAGCCTCCCTGGGGCAGGGGGCAGCATTTGAACTAGCAGTGGCATCTGCCTAGGACAGATCGGAAACCCAGCATGCTTCTCTTCTTTGCCAGCCCCAAGTGCCGGGGCAGGGCTGTGTGGGTCGGCTGGGAGCTAGCCGGGCTCTGGTCACGGCCCCAGAGCAGGCAGAGCCCAGGCAGCACCAGGGCAAGCTTCTGAGCAGGATGTCTGGGGTCAGTTTGTCCTTGGCCTCTTTGCGAAGGACATTGCTATGAGCGTGGTTCATGCTGGCCCCCCAGCTGTCATCAGATGTGTGCCCACGCTGCCAGTCTGAGCTGGATCTGAACCAGCTGCAGAGCTGCCCGGTGCCCCCAGATCGCTCGGTTCCATCTGACCCTCTCCCACTTTCTGGCCTCGCAGGTGAGACGCTCCCTCAGCCACACGGGCATCGTGTCCCCCGACAGGTGAGCAGGCTGGCTGCGAGGGAAGGGAGGAGGGGGCTCCTGGGTGGCGCAGAGGGGCTGGGTGAGGATCCCGCCGTCCCTGCGCTCAGCTGGGGTCTGAGACCGAGCGGGATGCGGGCGCAGGCAGGCAGCTGGCTTCTGGGTGCCCATGACATGGGTCCTGGCTCACTCCCCTAGCTGGAGGTGGGGAAGGTCCTGGAATTCAATCCCCAGCCCCCTGGGCCGGCTGAGGCCACCCTTCAGGGCGTGCTGGGAACCCTCCATGGGTGGGTAGCCTGGATGGGAGGGGGAGCGATCAGCCGGGCTCTCCCTTGGGTGCCACCCTAGGTGCCCATCCCCAAGCCAAGGCTCTCACCCCGTCTCCCTCTTGCAGAGGGGCGGAGCCGCCCCGGCCCCCGGTGCCGCCGCAGAAGGGCGCCGTGACGGTGGTGCGCAACCTGGAGGAGATGGTGATGTTCCGCTCGCAGCACTGGAGCCAGCAGGGCCCCGCGCCCGACAGCCCGGTCGGCACCATCGTGGAGGAGAGGGAAGGTAGGAGCCGCGGGGCAGCCTCCCCGTCACCAGGGGGAGCCGGCACGATGCAGTGCGGTCACAGCTTGTCCCGTTGCAGATGATTTACAGGGATTGAAGGACAGCATCAGCCCTCCTCCCCCGCGCCCTCCAGCTTGCCCCGGCTGACTCTGCCTTTCCTGCTGGCCCCGCCCCCCGCTAGCCATGCCCCAGTGGGCCCTTTGGGCTGAGGTTCATGGCTCCCATGTGTCACGCTCCCAAACTGTGTCTTCTGCGGGCAGGGGGGGCCCAATTGGTCAGAGGGGAGCAGGGGAAACAGGCTCTCTAGTGGACTGAGCACAGGACTGTGAGCCAGGACTCCTGGGTTCCATTCCCAGCTCTGCAAGGCAAGGGGCGAGTCCCTCCCTGTGCCTCATTTCCCCCAGGATGGCAAGGCTGGTAGAGCCTGTGGAGGTGGCAGTGGTGGGTTAGGTGAGGCTGTCCTGTGCAGGAAGTAACAGGAGCTGAGTGACACTCTCTGTCTGAGGGGTCCCTTGCCCATGCCCCCTGTCTGATCCAGTCTGGGGACTGGAGCCCTGGGCTCCCTCTTCCGGCGCTAGAGCCCCCCAGAGGCCAGAAGCTGCTGGTCTCCCTAATTCCTCCTCCCCTCCCTCGCCAGAGGCCCCGCTGCCCACGCAAGAGTCCCCGGTGGAATCGGCTGGCGGTGATAAGCGGGAGTGAGCGGCACCAGGATCCGGGCGCTGCCTCTGCCTCACACTGGGGGCTTTGGAACATCCCTGGCCCAGCCCCATGGGAGCACGGCCCTTCCCTGTGCTTGGGAGCTGCCAGGGACCAGCAGAGAACAACGGGACTGTGTTCTCCCCCCAACCCCCACTCCTCAGGCTGGCCCCCAACTGCTTCCCCCCTCGCCCAGCGCTGGTCCCAGCTCCGGAGGGGCGGTGCCCTTCTGGGAAGGGAGTAGTGTCTAGCAGGTAGAGCAGGGGACTGGGCATCAGGATGCTTGAGTCCTGTGACCCGGGGTGGGTCACCTCCACTCTCTGCGGCCATTTCCCCGTCTGCACGGGGGAGGGTCTGGAAATGGTTTGGCTGTGCAGGCGGAAGAGGCCAGGGGGGCACTGCAGGGTGGCATTGCTCAGTGGGTGCCATGGATGGTGAGAATGCAGGCTCTCTGGGATGAGGGGACCGAGCCCCCAGCCTGGGGTGGGGCAGAGGGGGCCTTGTCCCGGGAGCAGAAGAGAAACATTCTCCTTGGTGCTGATCTCCCCTGGGCTTGGCGCCCTGGCGCCTGTGTTGGCCTTACGCCCGTCTCTGGGCAGGGGGAAATCTGCTGAGCATGGAACCCCCTCTCTGCTCCCCAGCCCAAGGAGCCCAAACACCAGCACCAGCTGCCCCGGCCTCTTGTCCCCTCCCCCTTGCTGTGATGCTGGGCGTGATACCATCCGCGCAGGAGTGGGGGGGGACCCGGCGTGTCTGCGATCACCAGCCAACACAGTATTAGAGCTTCAGAGAGCCAGCCAGTGTGCTGGGGCTAATGGCCAAATGTGATCCAGCAGGATCCTCTGTAATCCGTGGGTGCACAGCCAGTGTCCCCACTGTGTGGTGTGTCGGGGGAGAGCTCTCCCTGCCCCGGGAATAGTACCGCTCCCTAGAAATGGGGCTAAGAGGAGATCTTGCTCTTCTACCCCTCGTGCCCAGTTTGGTGCCATGGTGCATCAAGCCACCTCTTACAGCCAGGCTTCACCCATCGGGGCTCTCTCTTCACGTTCTCGCCACGGCCTCTGGATCCAGCAGGCAGGTGAGAAGAGGCTGGTTCCGACGATCTGGCAGAGCGCCTCCCTCTGGCCAGTTCCCGGCCATGCCCCGCTGACGGTTCAAGCCAAGGTCAGAAGTGAGAGCCCAGCTGGCTCTCCTGCTGCAGGGGCTGCTGGGAGTAAAGCCTACCTCTCATCTCAGGGACAGTAGATGCAGAGATGAGGAGAAAGATGGTGCCAAGGGAGGGTTGGCTCCTCCCACCCGGACTTCACCTGAGTCAGGTGACTACACCCAATGCTAACCTCTTTGAACACTACAGCAAGGATGTGGCCGATTCTAATGGAGGTGCAGAACTGTCCCTGCTCTCGTCCTCTGGCTCTCTGTCCTTTGACACAGGATTTTTGTACAGACGCGTCGTCAGGTTGGGGCTGTCCTTTTGCTGAGGGAAGCAGCCGTTTTTGCGGAGAGCTCTGCCAAAGATCAGGCCTTGCAATAAAGACTCTAATTTTGAAACAATCGGCTCGTCTCCATGTGTCTCTTTCCCCCATGGGGACTTTTCCCCAGGGCTGGTGGAAGGAGCAGCTGCACGGTGTGGGGAGGCGGCTCCGGAGGCGCTACGGCCTGAAATTGCTGCAGAACGAAACTGCTTCATTGCAATTGGCAGGCGAAAGGAAGTGCCTGAATCTTCGTGGCTCTGACCCAAACCGTTGGGTCACTCATGATGGCTGCCGTTTGTTCTTCCCGTCTGGATCCAGGCGTCGTTCCGAGCTCTCCCAGACTCTGGGAGCGGCAGGAACAAGGTTCCTGCAGCTCCCCAGGTGTTTAAGCAAAATACAGAACTTGCCTCAAAGCAGCTGTGAAATTCTGTTGCAGCTCGGCTCTTGGTGTCTTGATCCGACATGGCCTATTTCTCGTTCTGTAGCTCCCGGATGATCTTGTTTTTGCGGAGAGGGTATTTTAAAGAAAGAGCACAGTGAGATTGCTGGGTATTTTACTCAAATGTGCAGAGAGGGTTTATTCCCTTGTGGTTTAGAGAGAGACCAGGCCAGAGTAGTAAAGCCATCCCCACTATTCATAATACCGCAGGAAAAAATCAAGAACCGTTTGCGACTGAAGTTCTTTCCATCAAATGATCAGGCCTGACATGCCCTTAGACCAGTGAATTTCTTGCATATTGTTGGTAAGACACTAGCTTCTTGCTGATGCTAATGCCCCCTTTTCACTGGCGGGCCGGTGCCGAGGGGTTGTTCCCCTGTCGGGAGCAGTGCTGCCTTTTGGCCTGGCCTGGCAGATTCTCAGTGGGAGGAGAAATTGGGGAAAGGGGGTGTGTCCGCCTGGCCTGGAGCAGAGGCCGGGCGCTTTGCTGGTACCTGTGTACTATAGTTTGTCATGTCGAGCTGGCCAAAGAGAGCGCCTGCAATCCCCTGGTGGAAATCTGAGCCCAAACCCCAGGACCTGCCTCCGGGGATCAGCTGGGCCCCAGTTAGAGGGATTCAGGCTGAGACCGATCTCTCCTGCTCCTTGCACCAGCGAGGCATGACCTCACGCAAGGAATGACAATATAGCATTGCTTCCAAGGCTGTACGCCACCCACACGCTCAGGAAAAGTCCTCGCATGGCCGTGCAGCGGCACTGCCGCCTGTCAGAACGGGCCATGTGGTGGTGTCAGGTATGGTGGCATGCAGGGCTGTGGGTGCAAAGCAGAATCGGGCCCAACTTGGTTTTCTTCTGTTTCCCAATAACACTTCAATTGCTAACTGTCAAGGTTCCTTCCCCACTCTGAACTCTAGGGTACAGATGTGGGGACCTGCATGAAAGACCCCCTAAAGCTTATTCTTACCAGTTTTAGGTTAAAAACTTCCTCAAGGTACAAACTTTGCCTTGTCCTTGAACCCTATGCTGCCACCACCAAGCGTGTTAAATAAAGAACAGGGAAAGAGCCCACTTGGAGATGTCTTCCCCCAAAATATCCCCCCAAGCCCTACACCCCCTTTCCTGGGGAAGGCTTGATAAAAATCCTCACCAATTTGCATAGGTGAACACAGACCCAAACCCTTGGATCTTAAGAAGAATGAAAAAGCATTCAGGATCTTAAAAGAAGAATTTTGATTAAAGAAAAGGTAAAAGAATCACCTCTGTAAAATCAGGATGGTAAATACCTTACAGGTTAATCAGATTCAAACATAGAGAATCCCTCTAGGCAAAACCTTAAGTTACAAAAAGACACAGAAACAGGAATATACATTCCATTCAGCACAGCTATTTTACCAGCCATTAAACAAAAGGAAATCTAATGCATTTCTAGCTAGATTACTTACTAACTTAAGGAGTTATGAAGAGCATTCCTGATCTGTTCCTGGCAAAAGCATCACACAGATAGACAGACCCTTTGTCCCCCAACTCCAGCTTTGAAAGTATCTTGTCTCCTCATTGTGGGTCAGGTGCCAGCGAGGTTACCTTAGCTTCTTAACTCTTTACAGGTGAAAGCGTTTTGCCTCTGGCCAGGAGGGATTTTATAGTTCTGTATACAGAAAGGTGGTTACCCTTCCCTTTATATTTATGACACTAACGAAAATCACTGGTTAAAATTTCATTTGAACTCTTAACGGCAATGGGAGGAAACTGTCCCATGTTTCCTCCCAAAACCAACATAGAATACCAGGGTTGGAAGGGACCTCAGGAGGTCATCTAGTCCAACCCCCTGCTCAAAGCAGGACCAATCCCCAATTTTTGCCCCAGATCCCTAAATGGCCCCCTCAAGGATTGAACTCGCAACCCTGGGTTTAGGAGGCCAATGCTCAAACCACTGAGCTATTCCTCCTCCAACTGCCTATTGAGTATCTGTGTTTCCACTTGCAAAGCCTCATTCAGTTGCTCCAAATCTGGTTTTCCCTGCTCCCTATCTAGACAGGAGATTCATAGATCCTAAGGTCAGGAGGGGCTACTGTGGGCACCTTTCTAACACAGGCCCTAGGACTTGCCTGGGTTACTTCCTGTTTACACTAGAGCAGATTGTTTTAGAAAAACATCCACTCTTGATTGAAAAAAATCTCCATTGATGGGGTACGCATGCGAGCCCTTGGTAAATTGTCCCAGTGGTTAATTCCTCAAGCCAGTAAAAATTTGTGCCTCTTTTCCAGCCTGAATTTGAGATTTGCCCTTTGTTAAAAATTCCAGGGTGTCTTTTGATGTCCAGAAATAAAGTTCTCTTGCTCAGCACTTTCATAAACATTTAATTTTCACAACACCCGGCCTGTGACTGACGGGTATCTCCTCCACAGTAACCAGTCAGAGACTGTTCTGGTGCCATTTTCATGGCTCAAAGGTTGGAGGAGTTCCTCTGATGATAGACTGCAGAGCTGAGATGGGAAGGCAGCCTGAGGGTGCAGGGGATGCTCCCCCCCCCCCCCCACCGTGATACTTCAGGACGGGGGAAGAAGGTAAATTCTGAGAGCCCTGTTGCTGAGTCAGAGCTGGCTACAGCTCCCAGATGCCCCCTCAAAGGCCCAGTCCCCTTTCACTTCAGGACTAGTCTGACCGCAGGCCCTCCCATGGGCACCTGACTGCATAGAGGGCCCTATGCCAGCCCCCTTCAATATCAAGCCTGCACTCCTCTGTCCACGGTGGTCTAGGGTGTTAATTGCCAATGGGCACATTTCTTCTCCAGGCAGAGTTCTGGGGACCAGCTCTCCACGATGGCCTTAACAATCTACCCATTTCCTTGGTGTATGACGGGAGAGGGTGTGTTTGATACTCCCAGAGCAAGGAAAGATGTGTTACTTGTATTGTGGCAGCACTCAGGAGCCCCAGCTGTGACGGGGCCCCGGGGTGCTGGGCCCTGCATGTCCACATTCACTCGTTAAGGACATGCCGCATTGCAGTTAGTTTTGTGATGCAGTTTCTTTGGCAGAGGAGCTGGTGCAGGCAAGAGGAGGGTTTGTTTCCTGCCTCGCGCTCTCTATCCTGAGTCAGTTCTTCGGGAAGGAGAACTGGGCACTGGTGGTTGGGCTGCGGTTCTTGAAAGGGGGATGGCTGCCTGTGGTTTGTGATCACCTCTGTTCCAGGACAGGTGTGTATAGTGTGACCAAATGAACTACGTGCTGGGTTGTGTGTCACTGATTTCTCCTCCTGGGCAGGGAAACCGACTCTCCAGGCTCAGGTAGGTGTAGTTCTTGGTGCCCACGAACCATTGGGTGCTTGTGACCACGGTTTCCATGTAGGTCAGCATGTCCCAGCCTGGCCTGGCGTGCGCAAGGAGCGGAGCTGCCCACGCTGCCAACTAGGGACTGGGCACATGGCCAGGCTCCGCAGCATCAATCTGCCTCTGCCTGCACCCAGCCCCGAGCTCCCCCCTGCCTGCACCAGCCCCGAGCTCCCCCCTGGCTGCACACAGCCCCTAGCTCCCCCCTGCCTGCACCCGGAGCTCCCCGCTGGCTGCACACAGCCCCTAGCTCCCCCCTGCCTGCACCCGGAGCTGGCTGAAAGGCTGAAAATCGAATATGAGATCAGGTTGAGCCTCCCTAACATATGTTCCCAGCTGGAAAAGCTGTGCAAGGAGGAGCAGGCACATCCATCCCAGTAAGAAGACTCCTGGCTTGTAAGTCTTTTAATATTTTTATTTACAATATTTGATTCTGTTCTAATTAGTAGAAAATAGGGCTGGATCTTTGCTTACAGAGCACAGACATTCAGACCCTTCCCCCCCACCCCCCAAAATTGAACACACAATATAGTGTTCAAAGTTGGACAACGGTTTTGTTTTAAAATAAAATACTGTGGCACTTTTTAAACAATGTTGTTAACGTCGTTGTGTTGCTCCTGGTTCAGTTTTATTCACAGTTGAGTTTTCCCTGTTTGAATGCTGCATTTTGCTCTCACCGTGCTTATTGCAGCTGCACAGGTGGGCCTCGGGCTGGGAACCCCCTGGGTTAGAGCTCAAAGAACCAGCTGGCGGCAGCTGTTCACACCTTCCAGCCGAGCAATACCCCCATCTCAGCTCAGCCTGTTGGCCTCATGGAGTTTCAAAGCGCTGGTGCCCTAAGTGACTTCTCTCCCAGAAAGAAAAGCAATAAGAGTGGGTTGGTGGGGGGAGGAGTTGCACTGTCCCTGTCACGGCGAGGAAGAGGGACATTGGGGACAAAGCCCATGGCCTGTGGGGAATGGGGTGCAAACAGAGGCCCTGCCAGGGTGAAGTGGCGAATAGGGGGCGCACGGAGCCTTGGCAGTGAGGGGTATGTATACGCATTGAATCCCTGAAATAGCGGGGTGGGAGGATGGCACACCAGCCCCAACTCGGGTCTTGTTAGGGCTAATTCATGTGCCTGAAGGCCTTTGAGATCCCAGGATGGAGACAGCGACTAAAATGGCAATTTAGCGTCGGTACTTGCATTACATCACTGTAATGGACTGAACTGAAAATCCATCCATTACAGTGATGATTCTTCATATGGCTCCCATCACCACAGCATCTGATCACCTCATAATCTTTTGTGTGTTTATCCTCATACGCCCACTGTG